ATGAAGATGAAGATGAAGATGAAGATGAAGATGAAGATGAAGATGAAAATGAATAAACACAAACATAAACATAAACACAAACATAAACATAAAAAACGGTAGAGACAAAGATAGATAGGAAGAAAGTGATAGGGATAAAAAAGGAGATACAACTGCAGAATGTTCGGTGTTGTGTTATGGATGTTATGCTACTTGTGTTATGTTATTTCACTTTCCCCATTCCAACTTATTTATTTCACATCAACTCAACTCACATAAACTCCCCATAATTTGAGTGGTTGAATTTCAACCACTGGGCGACCACTAGTTATTATTAAAATTGCATACCAACATTTCCTTGGAAGTTGCAATGTAGATGAAAATTGGCAGAATTTTTATAATTTTTGCACAATATTTTTAATATGGAGTTACAGGGATTTTATTAGATAATGACTTATGCTTTCATAAAAAATGTATACACATGAAACAAAAACAAAAAAAAAATACTCACAACAAAGATTACTACAAATGCATGTATATTGAAAATCTGCGTGTGGGAACTTCGTACCTAGTGCACATTTTCAAAGCGCGAGGTGTATAGAGTAGTGTTTAACTTAGCGCATGAATTCGAATTAAAGGTGGTCTCAACAGATGCGATACTACCATTGAGATACAAAATATTACGATATGCGATCAATACAAATCGTTGCGGTATATGGGAATGCTCAAACATATGCGCTATACCGGTGCGATACGAACATACAAAGTAGCATATGTCGACAAAACATATTTTACCACCGAAGAAAAAAAGGTTGCAATTCGAAACAAATGTTAAATTATTTTATAGCTATTCACAACCATTAAGAATTTTTCTGTTTGCAACATGTTTTTATTTAATTAATTAAAATGATTACTCTGACGGTAAAAAGAGCTTTGCCGACCAGTGTTGGGCAAATTTTTATTGTACGGACAATTAACAATTAATTAATTGTGGAGAATAACAATTAACAATTAATTGTTAATTGTAGTGGGGAACAACAATTAACAATAAATTAATTGTTAATTGTAGCGGCAGCAATTAACAATTAATTAATTGTTAATTTTGATTATACAGTTAACAATTAAAAAGTTGTTAATTGATTTGTGAATTTTATTAAAAATTAACGATTATAAATGCCTACTATATAGGCCAGGGACGTAATTGAATACAAATTGATGAATTTCTTAGCGACACTGCTCGAAAAATCTGACAGTCCGATATATAAGCAATATAAATTCAAGGACCTATTTAAGAAACGTCGTCTAACTTCGACAATTTTTATGCGATTGCAATGATTGAACTGTGAATATATTTATAAATAGATTTAATATTCTATAGTAATACATATCTTGAAATTGTGGAAATTATCGATGGTCAAAATTTAAAAAATTAATAGAAATATGTTTTTTTTTTATTTTACCTAATAAAAATTCCCAACAAGCCAAGTCCGACAGTAGATTCTTTTACACCATTTTAAGGGCCTATAAATCCACTTCTCATCATACTTGATCTTTGACGTCGAATCAAAAATAGTCATTCAAAAACTCATAAATCTACAAAATCGTATTTTATGACCTAAATCGACAGGTCGCGACCTCTAAATGACCTTTAGAAAATCTATAAAAATAGGAAATAATATTTCCCATAAAAATTAGGGGTAGGATCTTGAAATTTCCAAAAAAATACTTTTTCGATAGGTACCCTAATATAAATACAAGTTATTTAGGTCAAAAAGAAAAAAGTCTATGGTACACTAAAACTGTGTTCACATTACAACATAAATTACTTTGTTTCGATAAAATTACTTCACATAAACCAAGTACGTTCAAATTTTCTTTCATAATTATTATTAATTCTTCGAAATATTTTTTCTTCTTTTATGTATGCCACCGCATAATTTTGGACCGCGTGAACCGATTTCAATATATCTTCTCTTTTACCGGAAAGTTGGTACCTTAAGGGTCGTCCCTTAATGTGGTTTAATCATTAAATCATGAAAAAATTAACGGTCCTCCTAAATGTGTATATGAGTATTGAAGTCGGTTTTGCTTTTTGCTTAAAAATTACTTGTTTAATAAAAAGTTCCATAAACACAAGAAGCACTCAACTTTCAAAAGTAATACAAAATTTTACAAAAGAAGTTTAATATAAATAAATTAAATAATTCCATGAAATTTTTACTCTTTTATGTTTATTTAAGTCGATTTCTGGTTTCTCATTTTTTTAATACTTCGAATACCGAAAATGTAACTGAACTTGTATTTTTATCATGTAGCTCATTTTGGTGGAACGAATTCGAAGGTAGCATTTTTTATTTTTTATAAAAATATTTTTCATGCTTTAGCCAAAACCATTTGATTAAGATCATTAACAGGCCTATTTTGCTTGTAACCGAACATTTTGTAACAAGCTAATTTTGTTACCAACAACTGTCACCACTCCTTGTAACCGCAATTCTATTTACCTTGGTAACGTTTTAATTTATTCAGCAATTCAGCTATGGAGTTTTGTGTAAATTCTGGTGTTGCATATTTCACGGGGCAATATTTTGTTACCTGCTCATGAGATGGCAACATAATTTACCGGTTACAAGAGTGTGGAGAATACGAAAAGGGTTTAAAAGTTGACAGTAATCGTACTAACCGGTAAAAAAATTGTTGTTACCAACGCAGAATAGGCCTGTAAGAGAGGAAACTGGTTACCTATCTTAATATGCGCAAATTTAAACAACAATTTTTTAGAGTGTACCATATCTGAACTAGAGATTTTTCTAGCGGGTATTCATTGCACAATTAGGAATGTATGTATATGTAAATATGAATTTACATACAGTGGTCGTCCTTTTTTAAATGCATTGATTACTCTAAATAACGAACGGTTGAAAAAAGGAGTATTCTATATAACGAACGCTTGTTTACTTTGTGTACTTGAATGATATGATGTTGCATGATTTTTGCGTACGTGGAATTACCATCAGTTTAAAAGAATAACTTCTTACAAGTGGTCGCGTTTATTGAACTGAAAAAATTAAAAAAAAACACACATCAAGGGAAATTGGAATATGGGGCCCATATGTAACATATGGACTGATTTTATTGAATTCTCATAATGGCTGAATTTCTTTATTCATTCTGAACGTTTGGAATAAACTTTTTTGTTTACTTATTCTTTAGAACGTTCCTGATGATATGTTAACGTATATTTCAAACGTATTCTGTTTATTCCGGCTGTGAAATTGGATTATCCGGAATGTATAAAGAAACGCAGCCAATAAAATTTAAGTTCGATATAACATACTTTTCGATATAGCGTATGAACCCAGACACTATATCATTCGTTATACTGGACGACCCTGTACACAAACATACCCAATTGCCAACAAACACCCTACGTTTTGCAACCCTCAAGCGTGGCATGGAAAACCATCGCTTCCCTATCGTTGACGTTTGCAAAGGGCCATCAATAATTATTTCCAGTTTCTCCGGCGTGTCATCTCACACGCTGCCTTGTTTATACCTCTCTTATTGAGTCGGATCTTTATGAGCACGATGTGTATCCAGAGATTTTTTTTAAGAGATGAACACAATAGCATCAGGCTTCTGCGTGAACTGTCAACATTGAATTCGTTGATGATAATGTCATCGGCGATTTATTTCTAAATGGGTATATAAAGTACCCACACATGTATGTACATTTATGTATATATGCATAATAAGCCAACAAATAGTATTCAGAAAAATTATTAAAGAAATTAACATTCACTGTTCCCGATTACATTGATAATTTTCATACATATTTAACATAATATGATGTACACACACATGCATTTAAATAGCGACTTTTCTCTGCGACTGTGGCCATTTTGTAGTAATTTACTTTATTGTTGACCCAATAACTTTCACTATAATTAACAATAACTTTAACCATAATTACGTATATATATATATATACAGATATATATATATATATACAGATGTATATGCAATACATTTTGCCCCACTTTTACATTATCTTAATGATATTAAAGAGACAAAGAACTTACCAAATATCAGGTGATGCTCCAACCAGCAATTGTACACAGTCTAAACAGCCGCGTGCTGCAGCATAATGTAAAGCCAATGCGCCTCCATTAGGCCTTTCAATGGAAGAAATACTTCCCGTGGAGTCATGCGAGTCTAATTGGTGTGAATGCATCTGGTTGTCGTTCTGGATTGGGCAGCTGGCAGCGTTGCCTAAGTTCCTGCTAACACTTCTGCTGATCACCGAAATGAGATCACGTCTGTAAGAATGAAATTTTATTATTAGGGCTGATAAAAATAGACTAGAAAAAACTGAAAACAAGCACTATGAATAGCTCGATAAATTACCAAAATATGCTCTTCTTCAACATGCTAAATCAATGCAGTTTTTCAATATTTGTATTAAATAATCTCGGAATTGCAGTATAAAATAACAGACTTTTTTAAATTATAAGTAGAAAATGACATTCTCTGGCCATTTGAAATTGTTGAATAATTCGAAAAACTCCTTACCAAATCCGTACGTGTAGTTGGAAAAAGTTTAAATGAACTCAATGCTGCTGGA